ACAATCTCAAAATTTCACTGTGGTGAGTTTTGTAACCTCAAGTTATTAACAGCACTACAAGACCATAATTACTGAGACACAGATAAAAATACTTTCTCTGCTTTCCATTTTATTTTAGTTTGCATATTTGTTGCTGTTGTGTTCACCTCTATTGCACTACTCATTTCTCTCACCATCTTCTCCTCAATGGAAGTACAACAGTCACTGGTTCTCCCTTACGTTGCTTTCCAATTGGAACAAACTTCCCTGAAAAGAAAATTAACTCCCCTTTTAGTGAAATGACAGAGGTTCTCTCACACAAACATACCAGGTTACTCCTGCATGAAAATCCTAGGCAGAGCAGGGAGAAACCAAAAAAAAAAAACAAAACAAAACCAAAATTCAGTTTTTTACTTCTGTCAGCCAAGGACTATACTCCAAGTACTTGAAATAACTCTTCTCTCTTCTACGTGTGCTAAAATCTGCTACCTTTTCTGTATGTATAATGTTTCATGCCACTTGCACAGTAACTCTTACCTAGAGTTTGGAGTGCTGTTTTCGTCCACATAGCTCTGCAAGTAATCAGCATAAAGTTAGACAATTAGAGTAATTTTAGAATTCTGTAGACTCCTAAGGATTTTGCACCTGGCTCACCCAGCAAGAACACATTTGTTAAGACATTAAAAAGTTCTGGCAATAAAAATACCTGAATTTCAGCAAGAAATTGATATTTGAGTCCTTAGACAAATGTTTTTTCACTAAGTACTGTGAAAAAAAAGAAGCCTGCCTAATAATGTATCCTATTTCTAATACTTTTTATTACCTCCAACCCCATTCTACAAAATGAATGTTTGAGTAGCAAAAGAGGACATTTTAAGAGATATGATGGAAACATTTTTTTCTTTAGTCCAGTATAATCATGAGAAAATGGGCAAACAGACCAGCATGCAATTTCAACCTCTCTGTGGACAACAGGATCAACAGGATCACATTTTTTCATTTTCCCATCACAGAAAAATCTCAATGTAATCATCAGATGTGATGGTTTCATCCTATCCATCTGCAAAATATAAGATCTTCTCTCATAGAAAGATATAAATGTATTTTATTTTCAAAATGCATTAGTATGTTTCCTGTAAGCTTGCAACTTTAGTATCCATTTTCTGCCCTTCTCTCCCCACTGCCAAGCTGGTTAATTGTCCCTTTCTCCCTGTTTTGAACATCTAAAAAATTATGTTTAAAAGTAATGTTTACAAGAATTTACCTGTAAGAACAAAAAATTCCTGGAAAGTTATAGTGAAATCTCAGCTCGTTTTGAAAGAAATAGCAGCATAGTCAATACTGAAAAAGAAATACAGAAAGGGGTGGATTCACTTGCAAATTCTGTTTTAACTAGTCAATCATTATAAGCATTTCCATGAATTTAATAACAGCACCAATATCCAATATTCTGACCCTAATGTAATAAATGAAGGGTGATCATATTACCCAGTTTTAAAAATTGCTTTACATAATGTAATCACTTACTTGCTCTAATTTAATTTCATTTTACATCATTTAATAAATGAATGCTGATCATTTGACATAATTGAATAAGTAGTTCAGTTCATTCTCTGTACTTCTTAGGTCAAAAATTAAGCTGCTTTTTGTAGTTTTCCAGGATGGTATTGTGAGATTTAAGAGTTAGGTTTCATTTCTTCTTTCCATTTCTTGATTACCATTGTGTAGTAATTCCACTCTGTAGGAAGGAACCTAGCCCAGCCCTGCAAGCTGAATTTTTCAAGAAAATACATAGCAAAACACTACAACCTCCTGCTTCGTTGTACAGGAAGGGGAGGAGGGGGAAAAAAAATTCACCTGAAAATCTTACTAGACTATAAAAGCCATAATTTCAATTAAAGAGTAACTTAAAGTAATTTGACAATAGCTGTGTGAGGTAGGCAAGGACTGAGTCTTCGATCACTTTCTAGCAAAGCCCAGATTTTTCTACTTTGTAAGAGAGAATTTAATTTTAAATTGAAAAGACAACAGATTTAATGACGAACAACTCATAATTCAGAATCTGAATTATGTTCTACTCATTTAAGTCAGGCCATCGTTCACAATAAAGGAAAAATTAAAAAAAAAAGGGCAGACTTCTAGGAAAAAAAGACAGAAAGGAGGAAACACAGAAAGAGAGTTGTGAAAGGGCTACAATGATGATTTTTACCTTTCTGAAATAATTTTGCCTTTCTGACTTGTCTTTTAAGAAAGGCAAAGTGTAATCACCAACTCAATCATGGCATATATAGGACATATATATGTATAAAAATGTATAAATAATAAAAATAAAATAATAAATTAATAAAAATATATATGTATAAAAATAAGTATATATACAAATAAATGAATACATGTGTATGCATTTTCATGTGTATAAACTCTGCAAAAGAATAATCACAGATATATTTCCAGCTTTGCACTGGACATCAGTTCCTCCCCTTCAAATCCAAAGCAACACAGTTTTCAGAAATGTTGACTATAAGTCATCTGCTGCCTTCCTATACAACTGTTCATTTTTTCAGATTACAAAAAAGATCTGGTGATCCTTTCAGAATGAAGCATGTAACATATAGATTGCAATAGTACCCAAAGATTTATGTATCTTATAAGATAGAAATAGAGTGCAGTTGCTTAGAAATAGCACCATTTTTATTTCAGAAGAAGTTATTCCTGTCCAGAAGTAACTATTCAAACTACCCAATGTCAAAGAGGTAATAAATCTCTTGTTTTGCCCTGTAAATCTCTAGTAACAGCTATTTATAGCTGTCTCATGTCTGTCTCATGCATCCTCACACTTCTTTCCAGGTTTCGGATCTGCTCTTCTGGACTAGTATTTGTGCGTGTGTGGAGGGGGAGGTAAAAATAACTACTAAAAGTCATTTCATATAGTTAAGGCCCAGAGATTTATTTTTATTTCATATTTATCTTATAATTTTCTTAGTAAAGTAAAAGCAAAGGAAGCGTGCATGACTTTGACTTTTAGTAGATTAAAGAGTAGATGAGGATATCCACATAAGTAACTCTCTTTAATCACCCTAAAATTACTACTTTCCACTTAGTGATGAAAAATATGTGCATTCCACTTTGAGAGACTCTGGTTCAGAAACTGTGAGGGAAGGCATAAAATCTGAGAAGAAAAATATCCTGTTCAGTAAAGGGAGATGGTAAAAAGATACTACATTCACCACTTTTCCACTTTCCTTTCTTCAGCAAACTTTTTCTTCCTAGGCCAATTGCTGTCACTTCATTTTCACTGCCTCTTTGTAATGTCATAGCCATAAATTTTCATTACAATACATTTATGTACCACAAAACCCCTATTGTGTTTAGCTATATGCATCCCACGTCAAGCAATATGAAAGAAATGTTTCGTTCTATTACATGTTTCTCAAAAGCACAACTATTTTCCTTTATTTACTTTGGAACATTCCCAATAAATTAGTTATTTTCTTCTATCTAAATCAATACCTTAGTTGGTTGGGGTGTTTTGGGGTTGGGGGGGTGGTGGTGTGTCTTTGGGGCACTTTCTATGATTTTGTTTGGTTTGTGGGTTTGGGGTTTTTGTTTGTTTGTTTGTTTTTAATGAAGCAGTCTTGCAGTATATTTCATGCTTGATTTTCACATAGTCACTAATTAGCACACGAGGACTGACATATGTCCTCTTATTTTTTTTCTTTCCCCCTCATGAAAATCAGTATCCGGTGATTTCAGGTCTGAAATTTGTCATAGGGTACCTGAAATTTGCTTGAAAACTTAGAGCAATAATGATTTAGCTGACTATGACTTCAGGTGCTAAGGATGTTGCCTAGTCCAGCAGTTTCTGTAACTCAGGCATTTTCCTACTTTCCAGTCTGATAAAACCTAATGTGGTGCACTTGTAGGCCCTGGAGATTCCCCACATACACTACCTAGAGGATAAAGCTGCTGGGCTTACCGTTCTCAGGTTGGTAGTGAGGCTTAGGGCATTTCCTAAACAGGCACATATGTACAAGCATCGCTCCACAGTCCAGCACAGGTAGAGCAGAGCCTTTACCAGCACTTCTCTAAACATCAGTAGCACTGACATAAACAAGCACATGAGTAGCCCATATGCTTAGTCCATTTCATCATATGCAGAATGGAGTGAGACTGACAGAAAAGTGGATAAGAGGATTTACTAAGAGTAGGGCAGGCATACCTTAAGAAAGCATTGTATTGCTGTTGTCATTCAAGCACTCATATGACCCACCACGACTTTTCCAGCAAAAATAATTGACTCATTCCTTGCTCTGTCATGAAATAAATTAATAAATAGACAGACTTTCTTCTTAATATGGGAATTGTTGCTGTGCAACTCCCAAGACTGCTATACTTCCTGCTGCATATCATCTTATTAGTTACTCTGTTCCTGTCAAACCTATTTAGATTGTACTCTCATGTCACTTCAAAAACTGGCATATGTTTCCACTGAAGAGTAAGTTGCTCTTTAAATGTTTCTTTCCATGTGAAGGAGAAAAAAAGAAAGATGATATATTAAACTTTATCCAAAAGGGCTTCTTATAGAAAAAACAAAGCATTAAATACAAGTCTGAAGATGGAAGAATCTGCACATTTACTTTACATTATTTTTCCAGAGTTTACTACAGAGAAGATTCAATCCAAAACTTCAGGTCATGACCTCAAAACAAGTAGTCCTGAGCAAGACCTGACTTTTCTTACTGCTTTTCCCATACTCACATACAGCAGTTTTGAGCATCCACATGACAAAACCACCCCAGAAATTAAGTTTTTCAGATACAGCAGGCTTGTCGAAAAAGAACTATTGGAGAACTAATCTAATGTCATGTCATTAAAGAAAAAAAAAAATCCAGCAGTGAGCAATTAGTTTGATTTACTTATAAACTTCTTTTTTAAAATATTTTCTTCCAGTGCAGTCACAGAGTAGTACAAAATCAAGGAACCATGTAGCAGGTCCAGCAAAACAGCCAGTGCCTTCAGTCCTATGTGAAGGTATATGAGTCCAGAAATCGGAGGTCCTGGAACGGCTGATGCCTCATGAGGATGCCATTGCTAACACCAGCCAACAGCTCCAAGATGCTTAACACAATACAACACCAAAACACATACAGCATGACAAACCACAACTGGTCTTCCAGCTTCTTTAGACAGCCTTCCTGAGAAAGTTCCTCCAAATGGCTTAAGTGTCCCCTGCAGTGAGAATACTTCTCCTTACAGCAGCTTTCAGGGACACAAGCTGTAAGATGCCAACAAGCAGCTCTTGCCTTTAACCAGTCTGTGTAGTTGTGGACCCCACAACACTGCAGCTTCCTCTGCATTTCATCCACAGCTCTACTTCCAGGATCCTGGGAGCATGACCCACTGTTCTGATAGACAAGGTAACCCATAGCACTTTCCAGCCGAGAAGCCGTCCTAATAGAGTAGACATGTGCTAGAACAGCTGAAGATGTTTCTAGGCAAAGAAGGAGAAGCAGCAGGAACATGAAAGTCCCTTGCTGATTTCGGGAGCTCTTGATAGAAATAGAGACAGCCAAAACTCCAGTAGGTAGCAAGATAAGTGCAGCTGCAATAGCCAGCCAACCAGGGAGAGCCAAGTAAGACTCCTGAAATAAGTATCTGTAGTTCTTGAACAGCAGGATCACCAAAACTCCACCAACAGCCTGAGCTGCAGCAGTGGCCCAGAAGACAAAGCCTAGGAATCTGAGGAGAGCTCGAGCAGAGGACCTGAGCCAAGCATCCTCACGGCACCACAAAGATGGCAGCAGCAGCACAGCCCTAAGCCTCTTCATTGTGCTCACTCCTATGAGCCCTGACCCTCATCACCAACATTTAAGAGGCTTCCACCTCACTCATTCAGGTGCAGCAGATGGCATCTCCACCCAAAAACACCTTGAAAGGAAACAACACTGATGAGAGTCCTCCACTAAAGACTACACCCTGCATCAGTTTTACCACATGTTGCTGCTGCACCTTGTTCAGCATAGCCTGCAAAAACCAGGAAACCATGTACCCAGATTTCTGTAGAGTGGTCCCTTACACTGTTGTCACTGGAGACATTGCATTTGAAGGAGGAGGGCAGCTGGAAAAAGCCTGCACCCCTCTCATGTGTGGAAAAGCTAAATGTAGAGGAATAGTCAGGGCGGTAGCCAACAGTGCTAGTTCAGATCACTTAGACTGCCCGGTTCTACAGCAGTAGCCAAGATGGCAACAAATTCACAAGTCAGAGCCATCAACGAATGAATAGTTTAAGCAGAGTTAGTCAGTCAGGAATCTCCACAGGTGACACTCATCTAGGCTCATTATCCTCCCAAATACCTTTAGCATTCATTCAATTGTATAAGGGCCATAATGATGTTAGTAATACTTTGCCCTTTTTTACTCAGTGAGATTTCTCTGTAGATAGCTTCAATTACTCAAGTCACCCGGATGAGAAGTCCCTACCATTTCACACCTGTACCCCTCTGCTTGCATTACCAGTGATTTGACTGACTGCTGTAATGCCTGAATTCAAGCCACGGTAAGTACTGTATTAACTTTTCCTTGTGCATAAAGAAACTGAATTACACGCGAGCTAAATCACTACTCAACAATCCCAAAGGGAATTAACATCACTTATCAGCATTATCAAAAGAGCGTTATTACTCAAACTTGTGATACACATGAACCGAGCAGGATGGGTAACCTGCATAAATCTTTCCACAGGTGCCAGGGAGGCAGATCCCAAGTCCAACAGTAATTCCCTCCCTAATCATCCTGATGAAGTCCCTTAAATCTCTTCTGCTTTTTGAGATATAGAGCAGGACTAATGCAACAGACACCCATAAGGGAGAATGCAGAGAGATGATCCTCATTTTCAGAAACATGAGCACCTGCGAACATGGCAGAAAATCAGAATAAGTTGGTGCTCAGATCCCTGGAACCCTGTAAAAGTCTCAGCAAGGCTGATAATCTTACATCTGTCAGACATTTTACAAGAACCTAACTGCTACTCTGTACACTACGCACACACAGATGTTGAGTGGATTTCCATCAAAATCTCTTTCTGCGTGCTGTACAAACAAGTTATTAAGGCTAATTATTTTGGAATGAGATAAATTGCTTTTATTATTTTTAATCTTTTCATTAACAGTAATTAGCATGCAGTGATTAACTTGTTAAATCTTAACCAAATGCTTCTTTCAAAGCTGCTCTAGGATGTATGTCTTCCTGCAACTGTTCTCTGAATTCTGTGTCTGCCCTCTCTCCTGCTCAGCATGCTGCTACCCCCAGCCCTCCTGCTGTGTTAGCTTTGCTGCCATTCGCTTCTTCTCTCAAATGCTTTTTTTCTCTGATTTCTGCCTTCTGCATCAGAGAGAGGGAGAAGGGGAGGGAGCAGAATTTCCTCTCACATCTGTACACACAAGCAAGCTACATCAAGTTAATGTTTCCATGATGCAGAAAAACTTATCAGAAAAGTGTGAGGAAACATATCAGAAACATACCAGAAAATACTGTGAGGACTACCAACTACTTATTTTTACCTTGCAAGCTTTGCGGAAAAAAAGCATATGAACCTACCTCTTTTTCTTTCTGCCTTCCCCCATGCACACAAAGCTAAATGAGATATTAAGAAATGAGTTACAACGTCATTTACCTTTAGCTTATTCTACATCTCTGCTCATAGCAGAAAAAGAGGACTAGAGATCACGCCTGCCTGCCAGTTCACCAACCTTAGACACTGACTGGGAGCCAGTCCCCAGGTAAGAACTCTCAGTGTCTACTGCCTACGGGGGGGGGATAGAGCACACTCACACCATGAAAGAGGAAACCGCAACAGAGGGGATTAATATTTGCTGAGTGGTCTAAAACCCCTCACCCACTTTGTGCTACACAATGCGTAGTCACTCAGGAAAAGAAAGCTTCTGCTCAAAATGTAAGATGAAGGACAAGAAAACCAGAACTGGTCCCTGAAGTACCCAAAAGACCTAACTGGCACCCTCAGAAGCACTGCCTTTGTGCTTAGTAATTATACCTCTGTGTGTGGACAGAAGCTTGAAAAAAGCAATGAGCAGAGCTATCCATCAAGAGAATGTAATGTGACAACGAGAGTATAGATATGACAGAATAGGAATGCTCCTCTGTTTTCTTTCCAGTGGTAAACAGCATAGCATGATAAATACTGTCCCTGTTTTCTCTGAAGTTATTTCTGCTTATGAACTGATGAGTATTGAAATTCAAATGTGGGTGTAAAAAATAATACACTGTAGATAAACTATTCTCTGGAATGTTGCTGAAAGTATAATCCTTCAAGTTAATAAAATGTCAGCTGTATTTGGTTTTTTTTTTTTTTCCATTCCCTACTCTAGAAAGCTGTGGCTGACATTAAACAGCTCTGATGTGCCCAGGAGGTCAAAGAGGTTCAATCCATCTGGGTCCAGGAGTGGGACTGGAAGGCCATCAAGTCAACATTGCGTTTGTGCAAATGCAACATAGGCAGATGACTAAACTCATCTTGCATAGCCCAGACTGTCATATAGATTGATCAGGGAGTACATCTGAGCTGTAATGGACAGTTATTCAAATCAGCCTGGCCAACTAGTCTGTTCAGACTTGTGTGAACAAGAGGAAAGCTAGAGGTGGCTGTGGCATCAGGATACAGTTACACAAGCCCATCTTAGAATTATTGTCAAGTAAGATAATACACAGGTACCCCCAAAATGCTAGGCAGTGGAAGGATTTCAGGAAAATTTATTCGTAAGTCGAGAAAGCTAGACTTACCAGGAAAGTTCTCCTGGTAGAGCTGCAAAGGCACCGACCTGAGAAAAACACACCTCTTGTTCTCCTCAGGGCTCTGTCTTCGCTGGCCTTCCCCCAGGCCCTCCCTGACTCAAGGCCTGTAACATCTGTGAGGGTTTATCTCTCCTCATACCAGAGAGAGAGCCTGAAATCTTCCTCTGGAATGCAGAAACTAAAAACATCCAGCCACCTTTGAGAAAGGTGCTTCTTCCTAGGCAAGAAAGCATTCCTAAGTGGAACAAGCTCTAACCTTCTGGTTATAAATCTTCCAGAAAGTGTATCTACTCTTACAGTTATAGAATGATGAAATCATAGAGTCACGTAACAGTTTGAGTTGGAGGGGACCTTGTGGATTGTCCTAACCCCTCTGCCATGGGCAAGGAATCTTCCACTAGACCAGACTCAACAATCTTCTAAGTTTCATATGACCTCATATAAAAAGAGGTAAGATCGCAAAGCCTTGGGCACTGCTCTCATTGTCACAGTGACTAATTAGAGTCACAGACAAACCCTAACACTGTTTCAGTAAAACTGCTGGCATTTCCCTTGTGACCAGTGCACACATGAAGCTACTGCAGCTGGGCCTTGCAGGTGAAGTTAAAGCACTCTGAAAGAAAGTTTGTCTTCAGAGTTTAGAACATTTTTAAAGGTCTTTTTAGATTAAAGCCCACTTATAGCATAGGCTATGACTTCAAAGCTTTACTAAAACACAGAGGTTTTTGTCAGCTTCATCTACTGCACTTTTACATTAAGCTTCTCCGTGACTACCCGCCTTCCTGACACCTTCACTGGTGGAAGCTGGTGTGTGACCCACTTGGGCTGGCAAATCCAGAAAAAGTGTAAATGTGTATCCTTGATATCACTCCTCCCTTCACTGGTCCCAACCCTGTCTGTTGGCCCAGGCAGTACATCTTTCCCAAGTTAAAAAGACTTCCCATACAGTTTTTCCAGTTTCCAAGAAAAGCCCTGGCTGCAAGCAAAGTGGCAAAAAAACCAAAGAGTAATATTTTGGGGGGAGGGCGGGATGTGCAAAAAGAAAAAGAAAACAAACCCAAACTTTGATTCTTCTCAATCAGATTACTCAAGCTATGATAGGTACTCAAAATACCACATAGCAGAAGGACTGGATACCAGTCAGAGACCTATTTAAAAAAAAAAAAAAAAAAAAAAAAGGAAATTTGCTAAGTATATTGACTTTCTGAGAATCAAAAACATTGTTTTATGAAATATATGATATTACAGGATTGCTCAGACAGCTCAAATGCAGGAAGATGAACAAACATGGTTGGACCCAGAGCCTACAGTTGTAGCCATTCACAGCCAGTTGCCATAGTAACCAAAGTCAGATGATGTTGCTTTGCATGAGACTAATACCTCCCATAGAAAGCTTGAAGCAAACAGAGGACACATGATTACCATTTCCTATTCAAGGAAAATATCCTCCCCTCAAGCACTGATTTACAATTGTGGGGATGTTTGAACTCAAGTTGGTCAGATATTTACCCCTAGCTCTGCTTACCAGACCAAAAGTGTCCTTTTCTGTGATTGAAGAAGCACATCAAATACTTTCAGAATTTTATTTAGTTTTGCTTTTAATATTCCAGGTTTTCATTGGTGTTGAAATATTGGAAAACAAATATCAAAAGTTTGCTGTTTCCATGTATTTCCTCTTTCCTCCCTGTTATGAATTTGACAAAGAAAAAGACTAATACCTTTTTCTTTTTTTCTTATTAAATTTTATTTTTCCCTTCCTATTTTCATTTTCCAGCCTGGAATTGCTATGAAATACCTTATGACTGGGATGAATGCGGACTATCAAGATAAGAAAAAAGGAGGGGAGAAAAACCCCAATACCTTCTGTATTTCTGCCACTTTGGAACTTGGAGAAGATTTTAAAATACACAGAATAGCAAAAGAAAAAAGAAGTTGAAATGAAAACATCTGGGTTTTTTGATAGCCTTTATTTTATTGCAATTGGTGATAAAAAACAGGTTTGAAGAAAAGATACTTTGTAAAA